ATGTAGCTTGAGTGTCTCTATCAGGAGGGCCAAGCAAAGCCAAGGACCTTGGACCTTGCTTTACTCTAGACCTCAAGGGAGAGTGGCACTGCAAGTCTTTTCCATGGAGTAGGGGTGGTAAGCTAGGTATGGCTGTCTTGGGAGTCTCTTAGCTGAAGAAGCCGTGAGGACCCACAGAGGGTTGGGTCTAAAGGAAATGAAGAATGGAGAAGACTCCTTTGAGCAACTCAGTCACAGGTTCCAGAGAAGAAGGGTAAAATAAGTTTCCGGAGTTCTTTCAGGGCCTAGATTAGCTCACAAGAATAGGAAAGTAGGTTGAAATTTAAGTTAGATGCTCTAGCACAGTGATTCTCGACTAGGGTCAATTTTGCCCCCCAGGAGACATTTGTCAATGTCAGGAGACCTTTTTTGATTGTCACAACTGGCGGGGGGGTTCTACAAGTGTCCCGTGAGTAAAGGCCAGGGATGGTGCTAAACATCCTACAATACACAGGACAGCCCACCACAACAAAGAATTATTCAGTCCCAAACATCAAGCATGCTGAAGTTGAGAACCCTTGTTTTAGCAGAAATACAGTGTGTGTATTTGCCTTTTGTGTCCCTTACTCATTCTATTTCTTGGGCACAAAGTGAATGATCTCCCATACTGATCCCAGGAATGGCTGATTAGATCATTTACATGTCTAGTTCTGAGCTTCTTTTAATTTCAAAGAAGATAGATTTTAAAGTTTGGTACTCTGTAAAACGTCTTTGCTAAGACACTTTCCATGGGTCACTTACACAAATACACAGGGGTGAGGCATCCCTTGGGAAAGCAGCCCAGACTCAGTTCAACTCTGCAAAACGCGGAAGCAAGGCCTCCCAAGCAGTGACAGCAACAGTCAGGAAACAGGGAACAAAGGGTTCCGTCCACAGGGCCTGTCTCCAAAGAACATGGTAGATGTAGAAATCTACATATGATCTGCCAGGCCAAATTTGTCTCTACCCTCCATTACTTTTGTTTAGAAACCGTAAAACCTAACATTTGCTGTCTTCCAAAACATTCACATCTGCCCTCCAGTGGTGAGGAACAACAACAGCATCTGCCTCCTTTTGGTCTTTGGTCTTGCGTGAGTGCATCTCACTGGCCAAAACTTCAGTTGGCAAAGGAGTCTGGGAAACGTAGTTTGCAAGCTTCTAGTTTCTGTGATTTGAGGTACTCAGAAGCCCAAAGATGCCATTAGGAACAAACAGACAATGTCTGGCTCAACTGTATTTCTTCTATTAGTTTTAGACTGTGTCTTTATTCCTGTAGTGCAACATAAGGAAATTATTTTCCTTACATTTCATTTCTCCTTTCCTGTTATATCTTTATCATTATTTGTATTGTTTGCATTATTTGCATTGTTTAGGATTTTAATATTTACATCACGCTTGTGGATTGATTATGAGAACTGAAAACCGAAAGCCGTGTTCTGACTGAGGCAATGTTATTCACTGAAGTGTAGGAGTGTGATTTCATCTGACAGTGGTCCTAAATATGTGCTGCTTTTGGGAATATGCATGCATCAAGTTCTAATTAATTATTTTTCTTATAGTCTATCAATTTCTTAGAATCATGCTACATTTTAGTATGCTTCATACTGAGCCATGACTTTCATGCATAAATTAGTTTTTTCCCCTTGATATTCTTATTTTCTTTATATTTCTTGTTAACAGCTTAGAAAATTCCTTAATGCTGTTTCCTAGTCAATCCATTCTGCATTTTATTCAACCTTGACCTTCTGAAATTTTATAATGCTGTATCTAGATGTGAGTCTTATCATTTATTGTGTGGGAACTAATTGGACCCTTTCAGTGTGAATATCATCTCTTTTGTCTTTTCCAGGAAACTCCTCTGATTTTTGGGAAGATTCTTCTCTTATTCCTCAGTTCTTTATTCCAGGGACTTGTCATAGTTAGACGATATTAGATTTGTGTACCTTATCTTTTCATTCTTCTTCTTCTTTTTAATGGATCTGCTTTATGGAAGATTGACTTCATTTTCCTCCTGACTAGCAGAGCACAGAGTTTCTGAAAACGGGGCCAAAATCAAGAGGACTTTGTTTGGAATAACAAGATTGCGGTGTCAGGCATGCTCTGGAATCTTTCACACACTCTCTCTGACACTATGGAGTGGGAGGGGGTGGAGAGAAAAGAGCAAACGCAAAGAAATGCAATCTTCTCAGTTTTGCCAAATGACTTAGAAGAACGTAAAGTGAACAGTAACATTACACCTATAATCTTTGTTAGATGAAGAGAAGGAAAGATGAAATTACCTCACACATGCACATATGCGCAGCTCTTATATTGCATGGTTTATCTGACAATTCTGTTTTTCTATTTCTTGATTAATTTTTTGCTTTTAATATTATCATTTTTATCCTGCTGCTTTTCTTAAGTTAATTTTGTTGGCCTTGACATTTGGAATCATTTATTCATTATTACTTTATTTTTAAATTTTCTGTTCAGTAATATAAGTAGTTAAGACTATGCATCTTAAATTCAATTCAGTTTTGGTCATACAATGTATGTTTTAATACTCAGTAGTGCATTATTTCTATTTCTAGTTAGTTTTTATTTTCAGTTTTGAGGTCCTCTTTGGTTCAAGTATTTTTAGTAGAAGATTTTAAAATTTCCAGATGATCATGTTTTTTGTGGTTTCTGTTTATTCGAGGTACATCTGCTATGAATTTGTAATTTTATCACATCATGAAATGAGAATTTAACTTGTTGCATTTCTACTTTTTGGAATTTTATGAAATTTTTTATTTGATCAATTTTTGTAAATGTTCCATAGACACTGATTTGCAGGGTGTATAGTTAGATATAATGTTATTAGAACATTATTGTTAATTATATTATCCTGTTTTTCCTTACCATTGCTTTTGTTTTGTCTATTTAATTTAAAACTCTAAAATCTCTATAAAAGTGTTTTACAATTATTATAAATTTGTTTATTTTCCTTATTATTTTCTACAGTATTTTCGCTCTGTGAGTTGAGCAGTTAAGGTTCACATCATTATATCTTCTTTGTGGCTTATAGACGTCATTGTGGATTGTACACTTCCAAATTTGAGAATTATATTCATTCAGTTAGCAAAATATTTATTGAGCATTTACTACATGCTTGACCACTGTGCTAAATTCTTTGTCTATTTTTTTTTTTTACTTTGAATTCAATTTTGGCTGACAGTTATACCTTTACAACTGCTTTCCTTTTGTATTCATTTTCTAGGTTAGATATTTGAATAATTTGAAAAAACTTTCAACATTTATGAATCACTTTGAGGTCTTTATTTTGTATATAGCGTATAGCTTTTATAGTCCAATCTTAAAGTCTTTTCCTTTTAATTCATGAGTTTATATTTCCATTATTGTTACAGTATACACTTATTAAATTTTTCTGATATCTTTTTTTAAACTTTTCTTTTCTTTTTGTTTTTTACTGTTTTTGTGCTCTCTTGGTGCCATTTTGTTTTCTACCTTTTGTTTGTAGCAAAACGTCATGCTGTCCTTACATTTCTGAAGACCAATTGACACCAGATGACAATATATAATATAAACAGAGGAAAAAAGATGGGACCCCAAAATTCTATAATGAGGCAAGTTTTCATTCATATGTGGAGTCAAAATAAAGAGATTACCGGATATGCAAGGTCTTGGACTATTTCATAATATTCGTTTCTTAAAAAAGTCCAGATAAGTGCACATTACAACAAAATAAAAGCAGAATGAAATACAGAACTCATGAACAATGATGGGTAATGCTCAAATGGTGGCTATTAGTTTTCTAGTTCTTAATGTACCATTTCATCTGATTCTCACAATATATGAGGTAGATACTGTTATTATCCCAACTTTATATATAGGAAACTGAGGTGCACAGAAGTTAAGTAATTTGTCAGGGTCATAAAGCTTGGGCAGAGCCAGGGTATGAACACATGCAACTGGGTGCTTAAGACCAAGTATCTAACTCTTATGCCCTCCTGTGGAAAAGAGGAAGTGAAAACATGCTATGAAAGGGATGGAGTGAATATTAAATACATTTATTTATTCATAGAATGAAGCCAAATAACTATAGATTATGATTAAAATCCGGAATATAATTGATTCTAAAGTCAAATAATGAAAAGATAATAATTTTTTGATAATATCCAGGGACAAAAGTTTCAGAATGTAAGAAAAGAAAGAAGGCGAGGAGCAGATTGAAGTGGCAGCAGAAGGAGGAAGATTGTTAAAGTAAAATAAACTTATGATCTTTCACGGAGGTGTCAACATATTTTGTTTTAAAAGTTAAAATTCATAAATATAGATTTAAGACTTTAATAAAAATAATATTTAATAAAAATAAGTAAAGAAGGAATAAAAATAGTCTAAATACTATAGAGGACAATGAAGTGGATGAACTCTTTAACAAAGTGTATCGAAAAGATGAAAATAATAAGGGTGACAAGATTAGATACATAAATGATTAATTCAGGAGATATAACATTTAGCTATGAGTTCTAGAAAGAAAGTGGTGGTAGTGATGTGAGGGAGTTGAAGAAAAAATAGACCATAGATATACCCGTTATAAACCAGAGATAATTTCATATATATATATTTTTTAAGATTTTATTTTTTCCTTTTTCTCCCCAAAGCTCCCCAGTACATAGTTGTATATTCTTCGTTGTGGGTCCTTTTAGTTGTAGCATGTGGGACGCTGCCTCAGCGTGGTTTGATGAGCAGTGCCATGTCCGTGCCCAGGATTCGAACCAACGAAACACTGGGCCGCCTGCAGCAGAGCGCACAGACTTAACCACTCGGCCACGGGGCCAGCTCCCGATAATTTCATATATTTTACTTTTAATTGTCATTATAGCTGGGAGAGGGTGGTACAGGGCTCCTTTCAAGTTAGTGATCCAGAATTCAACCTTAAGTTCAAACACTTACTCATAGCCTACACAAACTCATATCCTACTATTCTATCTTCTTGTTCACTACCTAAAATATTGCAGATATTTCCCCAATGTCCTTTTCACAGCTGCCTTCACCTCCATGTTTTTTAGGCTGTAGATGAGGGGGTTTAGCATGGGTGTGACTGCACTGTATTGCAGAGAGGAGAGCAAATCTAGGGAGGAAACAGAGGTGGGCATCAGATAGCGAATCAAACCTGAGCCAAAGAATAGGATCACTGCAATGAGGTGGGAGGAACAGGTGGAGAAGGCCTTGCTTCTGCCTGTGGTAGAGCTGATGCTCAGGATGGTGGAAACAATGCGAGTATAAGAGAAGAAGACTGGGAGGAAGGTTCCAAACCCATGCAGTAAGATGGAGCAAATCAAGATGTCAATACTGATGGAGATATCAGAGCAAGACAGAGGGAAGAGGGAGGGCAGCTCACAGGTGTAGTGCTGTACGGTTTGGGCCTCACAGAAGTCCAGGCTAATAGCCAAGAGCACAATGACGACTGAATTGAGAGAGGCCAGGCCCCAGGAGGCCAGCACCAGCTTCACACAGAGCTGGTTGCTCATCAGTTGGCCATAAAGCAGCGGGTGGCAGATGGCAACATAGCGGTCATAGGCCATCACTGAGAGAAGAAAGGCTTCAGTCCCCGCAGTGAGAAACACAAAGAAGACCTGAGTCAGACAGCCCTCTACTGAGATTGTTTTCTTCTCAGACAGGAGGTCCTTCAGTAGCTTGGGCACAGTGACAGAAGAGAAGCAAAGGTCTGGGAATGATAGATTACTCAAGAAGAAATACATAGGTGTATGGAGATGGGAATCAGTCCTGACCACCAGCAGCATCGTCAGGTTCCCCATTATGGTCAGAATGTAAATCCCCAGGAAGAGCACAAAGAGCAGAGCCTCGATGTGGGGGTCATCAGATAGTCCAATGAGAATAAACTCAGTGATGATGCTGTGGTTCCTCAAGGCCATTGTAGAGGATGTTTCCCTGGAATAAAATAAAACGAGAGGTGAGATCTCCTATGATTGTCCTTCTCATATCATTATCTCCTTCACAGCATCACCCTTTCTTCTCATCCATCTCTCCCTGCTCTGCCTGGACGCTGTGGTCAGACATCTCAAAGCTGCCCTCACTGTATCCCAGTAAGTTTTTATCCTGTTTTGTTATCACAGGTTTGAGTCACAGTTTTCACATACTTCAGAGAATGCTATTCCTCTTCCACGGGGATTTAACTGGAAAAATGAGTACCTCTGGCTCACCTACATGTTCACAGTATTTAGATGCTATTGCATTCTTCCTATTGTCTAGATATCCTAAAAATTCTAACACATATCCGCTGTGGTTTTCTAAGTCTGCTCTCTTCAATTTCTCAAACATCATTTTTTTGCTCAAAATCATCCAATGGCTCCTTACCAAAGTTGGTACCCATGAGGCACAGTAGGTACAGTGCCTAGGGCCACAATTCTTCTGTGGCTGATGAAAATGTTTTTATTTATTTTAAGATCAGAGAAAATAATGAATATAACACAGAATGGATTATATTTGTCTTTATGACTACAATCATAAAGTATAAATTTTAATCTATTTTTATGGAAAAGTGCCCTAGAAAGGCAAAAGTGCTGGGGGCCCATGAGTCATAATGTGTTCTTGTTCCTTGTTTCATAAACAGCACATTTAACTTTAATAGGATTTCATTAAATATAAGCACTTTCTTAAACACTATCTCAATTGTTTCAAAGCAATTCTGTGAGACTTGACCAGGAATTATTATCCCTGGGGTAAGGAATTTTATCTCCATTTTACCTGTGAGAAGTCTGATATTCAGGGATATTTTGTAATGTCATGTTGACAATAAGTAGAAGAAACAGGAAATAAATTACATTGTTTTTGTCTAGTTATCAGGCCAATGTCTAGGCTTAGTTCGTAGTAATAAGGAAGACTTTTCTTTGACATTCAGTTCTTCCTCATCGGCCCTTAACCTTTCAGCCATTTTGGCTGCTTTTGATACCAGAAAGATCTTTTTGTGTTTGTGACTTTGCTCACCTTCTTCTCCACTTCAAATGTCCTCCTCTTAATTCCAAACTCTCATGGGCCTTACAATGTCACCTATAATCCTGCTTATTTACTTATAGGCTGTCTTGACTGCTCCCTCTTCTAACCCACAGCTCTCTGTTCTTATGTCATAGTTTGAATTCTATTTATTTTCTCATGTTAAACATCTATCTGGGTTTTCTTCTCCTGACTATGAGCTTCTTGACAACATGGACCACAGTTTAACAACAACAATCACAAATCAGCATTTCTCTGGCTCTGTCCTCACCCGTTAACTTCTCATTACCTCTCAAATTCCTCTCAGACTATTTTGGGAGCTTCTATATGGCATCTCACGTGTGCCTCAGACAAGATATCTTGACTACTCTAAGCACAATCTCATCCTTTCACTCCAGTGGCCCCAGTAGCATTAATGTCTGGTAGCAGTATTGCTGACATTGTTGTCCATCAAGGTTACCATGTTGCCTACCCATGTTGCATGTGGGCTACTGCTGCTGAATTTCAAGGATGCTGTTATGTACACAGAGCATGCTGTCTCATGTCACTGCAACATCCTCTGATGCTCTCTCATTTTTGTAGAATCCACGTGTACTTTTGCCATCATTGAAAGAAGCTTCTTACATTCATGTTGTGGATGTATTCTTCTTCTATTTTTTTTTAAATCTTTTTTTTTTTCCTTTTTCTCCCCAAAGTCCCCTGGTACATACTTGTATATTCTTAGTTGTGGGTCCTTCTAGTTGTGGCATGTGGGAAGCCGCCTCAACGTTGCTTGGTGAGCGGTGCCATGTCCGTTCCCAGGATTTGAATCGACGAAACACTGGGCCGCCTGCAGCGGAGCGTGCGAACTTAACCACTTGGCCACAGGGCCGGCCCCGGATGCATTATTCTTTTATTGTCCCATGAGGGTCAGAGTAAAAATTCTTATAGTTTTTAGAAAAACTTTTCTTGCATCCTCTTGTTATAGGTATCAGCTGTGTGTATAAGAGGGCCAGATGATGAGCAATTTATGTTAATGATGATACTAAGAATTGTTTTAAATCCTAATTTCTGGGACTATACAGTAAGTCATTGTCCTATGTGAAGATCCCTGCCTCAGCTGGACTTTTTGAGGCTAATTTACCAGTATTCTGTTTTTGTCTGTCAGTCCACAGTCTGATCCTATGGTAGGCTTTTATCCCCACAAAAATATTTAATCTTGATGATTCAGAGAGCCCTGTTTCTGACCCTTCTAGCCAGGAATCTATGACCAGGAGCTAACTTATATCAAGAGAAACTTAAATTCTGATCCCATTAACAAACCCATCAGCCCAGCTTAAGACCATCTTAGACCCAAGTCTATGTTACCTGTGTGCCAGGAGAAATAGGGCAATGTTCACCTTTGTGTGTCTGCAGGATTTTAGCTTAGATCCAGAGATGGTGAAGCATAACCAGTTGGAGAAGTTATTCTTGAGGATCCTGCATGGATAAAATTGAAAATTCTTTTGAGAGCAAACACTTTATCTTGAACCTATGCAAGCAAAGTACAATGATGAATGGAAGTCATTCTTTCCAAAGATTTGGATGTTTCAAAATATATGTAGATGTGGCTATCCTGAATTGCCTCTACTCTTCCACTTTCAGTCACAAAGGAGACCTGGATACAGGGCTTCAAGCTCTCATCTTAAGAAGACCATAGCATTTGTGGAGAATCATTTTCCGTCTTGTCTGACATCCATGTTTTGTGTGAATGAAGGCAGCAGGTATTTCTCTCACATGATTTTCAAGTCATCATAGAGAAAGGAATCTCCCTCTGCTCTCACCATCCCTAAGTAGCACCTCCAACTGATGTGTGAGATTTCTTTAATAACTAGGGACAAATCTTCTCATTTAAGTCCTAGACCAGTTAAGCATAAAAATGAATCAAACTTGCAATCACTCTTGAGAAGGGAAGATACTGGCTTCATCTAGTCCTGAAGTAGAAAAGACTGATGCCAGATTTAGAATATGGGGTAAGAGCAAGAAAAGACTCAAGGAATAGACAGGGGGACCAATCATGGAGGGGTAGAAGATGTAAGAGGAGGACTTCAGAAGTGTCTTAGATAAGCACCTGTGTCACCATTTTGCCAATGCAGACACTTCATACCCATGGCACATCTAGTCATTTGATCAATTTCTCTTACAAGGGGATGAAGCAGAATATTGGATATGTTCGTGATTTTATGGCTCTCAGGAGACTCACTAAAATAAGCGTCTTTCCCAATTCAGCTGTTAGTGCAGAAAATCACAGATTTACTTCACCTACTTAAGGATCAATCCCAAAGTTAAGAAGAACAACTCTGATGGAGATATCTTAGTTACCCGATCTTGCCCAAAGGGGTCAGCTATTTGACAGCAGGTTTCCACAAAATGAGAGATTCTTTAGGTGTCTGGCAAAGTGCCTTGCTTTGCTTTTGCTTTGCCTTTGCACACTGGCTGCTTAAAGATGTTTTTGGGATGAAGAAATGAGAGAAAGGTGTGTGTGGAAGGTCAGGCTGGACAAGGTGACTTGAGGGATCCAGTGGGCTGAGGGGTAATGTTCAGCCTGGGTGCACCCTGGATGCATGGGAGAGGAATCTGAACTGGGGAGAAGACTATCAGTCTTCAGGAAGGACCAGTGACAAACTTCATCCACTTGAAATTAATCTCGGAGCTGTCCTCTGCTGTGCTCCCTTGCACTATTCACATCTCAGTGATGACTATATCTGAGGATGATTTCAGTAACAGGAAAAAGTCTACTGCAGTTCTCCTAAGTGAAGTACTGAGGAAGAGGGAAAATAAGTACCTCAAACAATCTAGTATCTATCTCTGATATCCTTATTTCATTCTAGGCATCAGCTTTCTGCAGCCTTTCAGGATCCTGAGGCATGAGAGGATTTATGCCTAGGCTTTAAAGTGTCACTGTCCTCAGCGTTAAGCAGGGAGAGAAGAAAGACCTTCCTGAGAAGGTGTCCAAGGCACCTTGTGCAAATGCACTGTTTGGAGAAACAGATATCAGAGTCCCATCCGGGAAGATGGTCTGCCAAGAAGCAGGACGTTTCCACCTCTAGCTTAGGGACAAGGGATGGATGAAGCAGGACCCTCAGGTTTTAGGATGAATGGAATGGATCATGCAGTGGCAGGAGGTAGAGGTTGGGGAGAGGGTAGGCAGAAGGATTAAAACATACACAGAACTTTACAGGTAGAAAAACAGGGGGAACACCAGAACATTAGAGAAGACATTACCGTTCTCCTGGTTTTTCTTGAAAGAGGCAGCTCCACATGTTCTGTCTTTCCCATCACTGGTAGACACATCAGAGCTAAAACCTCCCGATAAGATAACTCCTGTCACAAGAATCTGACTCTTCACAGAGTGCATAGCTTTTTCTCTTTGCTGTCAACGAGTGAAGAAAATTAGTATAATTCAAGCTCTGAAAGCATTGGATACGTCACAGGATCGGGATTATTCTCTTGAGTACCTTAACTTAGAGTGGTATCGTTGTGCAATGCAGGACACTGTGTATATGGGAAGACAAGGACAATCTCACTAAAGAAGCTCGTATTCGGAACAACAGACGTGTATTTCATTAAAACCTTCTCACGTGATCTCAGGTGCAGTCAGGTGTCTTGTCTTCATTTATTTCCTCTGTGATTCTGACTACTCTTTCAAGAGCATCACTTAAAGAAAGAGCAATCTAACAGAACCAATCAGAAGGCCATCTGTGCTTAGGCAGCCATGGGCTTGCTCAGGCATCCGGGGGAAGCCGGGCCACTGCTGTGTATTCCCTGAAGTCTCAGCCTGAAGTTGAACTCTGACTCGCTAACTACATGGTTTCCAGTTAACTAGAAAATTAACTTAGTAGGAGCCACAGGGATTCTCTCCAGGGCGGTATTGGAAGTTTCTGAATGGAGACAAATATTTAAA